CCAGGTTCTACTGCTCCCCACCTCAAAATCCCTAACCTGACAGTCCTCTCGATCCACTGGACAACATTCCTTCTGTTTGTGCAGCTCCACCACCTTATCCTCAACCACCTCCTCAGTCTCTCTCCCCATCTGCCTCCCTTTCCCTATCCTCCACTGCTTCTTCCTCTTCCACTCTTCCACCAGCACAAGCCTATGCTGACCACAGACACCACTTCTCCCTGTCTGATCTCTCTTGCTCTCATTCTCTCGTATGCTCTTTTGCTAGTTCTCTTTTTCTCTTTTCCTCTCCTGCTTTCTCTCTCTCTCCTATTCCTTGTCCTGTTCTCATTCTCTAGCCCTTCAAATCTAAAAAAATAAAAAACACTGTTGGAAAAGAAAAACATCTAAGTACGTGTGACAGTGTGTAAACTGTATAGAGACAGATCCCAGGAACACGGTTGGAAAATAAAAGAAGGTTTCAGTACATGTGACAGAGTGTAAGTCTTACAGAGAGAGATCCCTCAAACACTGTTGGAAAAAAAAGGTCTGAGTAGATGAGAGAACATGTAGAAATAACTGAGCTAAAAACTACATAAAGAGAAGGGACACAAAAGTTGCTGGTATTCTTCAGACAAAATAAAGTACTAAAAATATATCAATTATAGACAAAAGAGTTTTATTTTTTTACAAATTCTTCTTATAAGAGATCTCTACTAATTATAAACTGTCTCATGTATGTGTTTTTGTTCGTCTATCTCTCTGTTCATTCTGTAAACAGCGTTTTATTTGAGCTCCACAAATTTTTCTTAAGCCATTGTCTAAGAGTATGCTTCCATCAAGGTTGCCAGCTGGTCAAAATCATGTCAAAATTGGTTTTATAAATGTCATATATATTGTTGTTTATGTATTATCATTTGAAAGTCATTGTTTTCATTAGAAACAATCTTGCCTACTTCTGTAAGAACAATTCTGGAATGTAAAAAAATATATAAAACGTATTTCCAATACTATATTCAGGAATGGGAAAAAATAACAAACTTAGCTTTGACATCCCCCATGCCAGCTGCAGCTTTTAAGATAACTTCGCCAGATAATACATCTTGTTATATTTTACTTGCTTTCAGGTTTTCAAGGACAGCTTGCCTCAGTCTTAGACAATGATTGATTCTTCCTTCTCACCACAATGGCTTTTGATTTCAAATTTTCTTTATAAAACTATATAACTATTGCCTATTAACATTCTACAGGGATTCAACTACTAAAACATCCATGATTGGTAAGAAGTAACAGTTCTCTGGCTACACTTTACATTTCAAGGTGCTTAATACTCAGATAAAATTCTAATAATTAAGTTCACCATTCCCATTATAATATAATGTCATTAACCTCTTCTGGATAGCCAATAACAAAAAGGATAGCCAATATTTTTGCCTTAGCCCTCTGAGGTCAATAAAAACTCAGGACATAACAGAACCTCTGCTGTGACACTGTATAACTCAGTTGAGTCCCTGATCTTCTGATCAAGGAGATCATGGGACCACAAAGGAAAGTGATTCGGCAGTGTAGAGTGTGCCTAAGGAGAGTCATCAGGAAAGAAAAAGTTTCCCAAACTTTCACAGACAGTAACTTGGTCAAGCCATGGCCATGACTCACCCAGAGGGCTGACACTGACAAAAATACTGAGAGGTATTGTACATGGTTCCAAGGTAAATCCTGAGGAGATTTAACTGACCTTGATAGGCAGCAAAAAGTTAATTTTAATTAATACAGGTCCCACTTTAACTTGGCTTTGAACATCCAACAGAAAAGTATATAAAGCAATGCCGTAATTGGTTCATTCTTGCCCAGAGACTGCCAAACTCCAAGTGACCATACAGATAAAAGTAACAATAAATACGCTAGATTCATTTTTTCTAAAAACCACCAGATCTTCTCTAGAGAGTGTTATATGACATATATCAAGGCCTTCACTAACTATACTTAGGAAGCCTTAAATGACACTACAGCTGGTCTTTCTCCTAAAAAAAAAAATACAATACAATTAACAAAGCCACTCATTTCTACTCAAGTTGTCAAAAGATTTGGCTGACAACATTAAACAAGTTTCAGGGTCCATAGTCACCCTCCAAAACCAAATCAACTAACTTCCTGGCAGCGGTCATGCTCCAAAACCATGGGGCACTGGATGTTATAACAGCTAAAAAGGGAAAAACGTGTGCCATGCAGGAGAAAAATGCTGCTATTTTGTCAACCAATCAGGTATCATCATGGATAAGATAAAAAAGCTTCACAAGTATGTAGATAAAAAACACAATGGATGACCCACTGGTCTACCCCCTCTTGGTGAGGATCAACTCTTGACTCATGGGCACCTATCTTACTTCCCCATCCTTAGTCCACTTACCATGATCAGCATCATGTTGCTTATAACACCTCACCTTTGTAAATTTCTTTTTTCAAGGTTTCTCCAGTCTAGGTTACAAGCCCTCACCACTACAGAGTTACTAGTCTTGGCCAGGACTCTAAGGACTCATGGCTTCTACATGGGCCTGACCTGTCATCCCAAAGACTACAACAGCCCCCATCATGATGCCCCCTATCAGCAGGAAGCATTTTGAGAGTCATCACCCCTTAACAACAAAAAGATGGGAATGACAGACATCCAGAATCCCAAAAATGGCACTGGCCAGGACACACACTTCTTTGTTCTTCTTCAGATTCCGAGATAAACTTCCTACTCCCTTTTGTGCACGTGCCAACTAACTCCCAATACCCCTGAGATATGATACATCAACTGCCCATATTAACTCCACCTCCAGTCCAATCTAATAAAAACCTGTTCCCCAGCTCCCTCTTCCAAGGGTCCTTGCAATCTCTTGCAACCCTCCTACACTGGCAATAAAGGCTTATTTTATCTACCTCTGTCTCTTGCTCTAACTGGTGCCAAACCTAACATGAAGAATAATAGGGGCAGGGTGAATAAAAATAATCAAGATGTGACATGTATATGTATTAATCCTCCAAGTTGACTGTAATCACTACATAGCACAAACCTAGAGTAATAAAAAATAGTTTTTTAAAGACAATCGGAAATATCTTGAAAAGAACATGTTAATTTAAGAATGATTCTGACAGGTGGAAAATAGTTTATACTTCCAGTTATGTTTGAAATTCAAACAAACTGTTCATATTCTACAGGACAATCAACATATAAACACAGACTTTATGGAAGAATCTAAGGCAAGGAGATTAGTACAGATTTCATCATGAAGCTCTGAGCAGTGCCACAGAGGATACGCAATTCAGAAAAAGAGGACAGTTTTTAAAATCATAAAGTGTGTATAGTATAAATCATATTCTTGAAAGCAATAAATTAGTCTGCCTTGTTCATGTAGACAAAAATAAGCAGAGGTTAAATTAAACTGGTGAAGTGGATGTCTATTGTTGATTCTATCAGGCATTCTTACTGGAGTTCCTATCCAAATAGAAGACCAGGAAGCACCTAGCTCTACTAGAAAGAGCATGGACAGGTCTATGTTAAAACTGCAGGTTGCAAACTTAACAGTTTTGTATCATTGAACATGTACCTTAAATTTTTTTGAGCTTCACTTTTTTCATCTATAAAAGGCAGAACATGACTCCTAGGATCAAAGATAATGATAAAAGCTTAGCCAAGTTTGATACATAAGTAGAAGGCATTAAGTATTAAGATAAATGGCAGCACTTATCAATTTTATACACTTTGTAAGCTCTTAGAGGGTAGGACACTATCATTCAGAGTTCATTTGCCAGCACCTGCTCGAGTTTCTGGTATTTGCTCAATGTAAAACAATAAATGTTCTATGGTGTATTCTGAGTGAAACAGAGCTTTGAATTCAAAATTAAGGAGTAAAACATCTTATGGGATTGCAACAAAGAGCCACTGAACATTTCTAAAAGTATGATAAAACTGAGAAGATGACTTAGAAAGATACTTAATTTATCCAAGATCTTAACTCCAAAAAGGAGCAGATCTGATTCAAAATGTCCCCATTTTAGAAAGGGCACCACAAATCTACCTATTACAGTATAAAGGAAGGTAAGTTTCAGTCCGATTACCACTACTAAATCTAAGATGTAATGCTTAAAAACAGCAAAATGGCTCATTAAACTTATGAACATTTCTCCCCACAACTTTTTTTTTGATCTGCGTGGCAAAATGGGAAACTGCTTCTGATTTTAAGCATAACTGGCACAATGTGTATTCTCTGCACGTGTACCCTCCTAATCAGCAAGAGTCAACCAAAAGAAGCAGTGAAAGACAAACGTTTGGAACACAAGCTGTGGAGAGGCAAACTTGGGTTCAATTTCCTGGCGACAGGTGAGTGATAGGGATTTAAAAATCACTTAACCTCTGAACCTTATTTCAGTATTCAATGAAGACAACGTGAGGGCAATGCTACCTGTTTCAAAGATTAGGGCTAATACAGAGTAAGAATTCAAATA